ACATGGAGCGTTCTGGCCCCAGCTGGCCACTCTCGGCCCGGCACAGCCTCCCCCACCTGGGGTCCCTCTGCCTATCGCCGGCCTGGGGACACTGCTGAGCACAGCTGCCTTGCTCTCAGCCCTGCCCGTTCTGCGTTGCGGGAAGCCACTGGATTTCGGGCACGGCCGCCCCCGGGCCTTGCGTTACGCTGGGAGAAGCAGCAGCTTCCTACCACGCGTGGGGGTCCCAGTGCTCACTGCGGGAGCAGTTCTGGACAGAACGCACTCCCAGCTGGACAGACCGACAGACACAAGCTTTCTAAACTATAGCAATACAATGAAACGTAATCCCACCACGACTCAGTGGCAGTTCTGGTGCCTAGCGGCCATGTGATAACTTCTGAATCCAGCACAGTTAACTCCTGAATACCAGAAAAACAAACAAGGAATGGTCCTGCACTAACACACATAGATGGTATCATGAGCTTCCACGGGCACAGCCCACTGCTTCCAATGGCTGGAATTTGAGCAGTCCAAGGTCCAATAAATAGCAGAGAAAGACGGGATGGGCAGGGAAAGGAAAAGAGAAAAAACAAAGGGAAAACAGTCGGTTTCTCTGCTACATGGAGCTGATGGAGAGGGCTCTAAGTACCTGGTGTTTGGCCTTTTACATCGTTAGGATGTGGAACGCAGCGGGCAAGCCAGTTAAGGTCTTATTCCCGAATATCAGGGCACGATCTGGAGAGTTTGGTGACGGATTTTCGTAGCAGCATGGGGAGACAAGAACACAGCCAGTCACCACCCATTCCCTCCAGTCTGTTTGCACACTTCAGTGCCGTGGGTTGAAATGAGTCAGCCAAGCAGCGCACAGGCCCGGGCTGAGTGGGTGGATGGGAGGGGGCTGAGGACTGGACTAGCAAGGGCTGATTCAGATCAGGATCCATGTTGGCTGAGTAGAAGTGAGGCTGGAAATTCGCACGTTGTCTCCTTTCATGCTGTGATTGACAAGCAAGATCATTTGCCTTTGCCCTGGGCTACCATTAACAGGGCTGCACAGGAAGGCGCTAAGAGCCAAGCGCGGCAGAGGGGTCTGACAGCGGTAGGAAGGGGAAGTGCTCACTTGACAACCATTTCCCAAACTCCTCCCGGGCGTGAGCCTGGAGCGACGCCCTCCCGCCAGAGGGGCCCACGCAGGAAGGGAAGCCGCTCAGAAATGCAAAAGCAAATTGGAACGAGTGCGTCAGGAAAGTTTCCAATGAATTTTCTTAAGGCAAGACCTTGGAAGCACAGGAGGTGGGATGTAAACGAGGTTCAGCCCGTGCACCGATCACAGCTTCACAGCAGTCTTCGCTCCACAGCTTTGGTGGGATTTTTCCAGGCCCCTGTGATTTACACGGGGTTTTAAATAGAACAGGGTGCTGTGTTTGCTGCAGCATCTGTTGCTTGGTGCCAATTAACCCTCCCAGCTGCTAATTATACCTTGATTTCTGGTGACACTCTCCAAGTTAACTCGTGCTTAGAAGAGAAGCAGGAAATGGGATACGTCTGCCTGTACAGCCCCATGGAAATTGCATCTTCACAATGTGCCATCAGCAGTCCCCTTCTGCGGGGAAGCGCTGACTCCTGCCACACGGCCGTTCCCCGCTGACGCGTTGGGGCTTGGCAGGCGAGCGATGAATGGGGCATGATTACATCTGTGCGCTGGGGAAGCGGAGCCATCAAGTCTGTTTGTCTACCAGACCATTGGATTTAAATCTCAATTCAACAGTAAGGGCGCCGCTTTCCCCTGCAACTAATCCAACAGCTGTATTCTCTTCCTTCGCTTTAAGCCAGATTTGAACTGCTCTCAGGGGATCGGCACATAACGGGCTGTTAAAACGGTTAACCGATGAAACAAAGGTGCTTAAGCGGTTAACCTTTTCACCCCAGGCCTGGCCGCTGACCTCCCCATGGTCATGGGGTCCCACCGCTGGCTAGGGCTGGCTGCTGCCGGATATAACGGGCAAGGGCCAGGTAACCAGTTACCATGCCTGGTAGTTAAGGGTACACCTCTCAATTTTGCAACTAAACTCCTTTATTTCCCTGACTTATCAAAGCCTCTTCTACCTGGGAGAAACCAGGCCCGGCTGCACGTTTCTGCTGTACAGCGCTAGGTGCTAGCCCCATCCTCGGAGCGCCGCCACACAGACTGCGCTTTAGCCATCAGCACTAAGTCTGGGGAAGCCGGGACTGTGCAGAGCTCACGTTAGCCAGAGGCACCAAACTGAGCCCCTCAGCACATACATCCACTGCCAGAGAGCAGAGCCCTTCTCAGCCATCGTACCACCATGCAGGCCGTTCTAAGGGACAGGCATGGCAGAGGGCAGCGGGGGAGACCTTGTTCTCCTACAGCTGCGTCGCTCCTATTTTAGAAGGCCTAACAATGCGTCAGACTAGCCACGTCAGAGCACCAGCTTCTGTCCTCCGGCCGGTGCTTCCGGCTGACATGAGATTCTCAGGGAGCAACTGTTGAAAAAATACGTTGATGTCTAGTAGAAAACACACAACCCAACACAGCGACTTGAGCGTGTGCTAGGGCGGGGGGGATACAAGCCGCTGTTCTGTTCAAATGAACTGGAAACACAGGCTCTGACCCGTTTTCACGTCCCTGCCCAAAGCAGGATTTGGAAAGTTTGAGTAAACGTGAATGACGAGAAGTCCTGCGGCACCTCAGAGACTAACAGCATAGCCTTAGAGACTAGATACGGTGCCACAGGACTTCGGCGTTTCGCAGATTCAGACTAACATGGCTACCCCTCTGATACTGGAGTCAACATGATTTGGCCAGGGTTAAAACATGACTCTGCACACAACCGTTTTGTGCTCTAAGAGCTGCGGAGCAGACACGGCCCAGGGAGTAGGAAAGTGCCCACTGAGAACTGCGGGGAAAGTCCACTGTGACCTGGCTAAGTGAGACACGTGGGGCCTTGTTGCTGCACACGCCAAGTGTGTTCTGGCTAGTCGTATAGTCGCTCTAGCCCCCACGTACGTAGCTGTGGCTCCACTCGGGATGCCTGGCCAACTTAAGAGCCTATTCAAATGCATCGGCCGAACCTCTCTGGCCCGGCAGCAGGAGTTTCCAGATGTCCACTTATTGGTGTGACCAAGTTTCCTGCTGTCCCGGAAAGTTTGTTGACAGCCAGTAGTCCTGGCTCTCCGTGCTCTGTGCTGTTCTAACAGAGCCCAGCAAGAAGTGGCAGTGTTAGTGTTGGTCAAGCTGCTAGACAATATGGACCTCCCATGGGCCAGCAAATTCTCAGGTTTGGTACCAGTCAGGTCCCCAGGCTGGAGAAGTTCAACCTCCAGTAGCAAGATACACAGTAAGTGAGGCGAAGGGCTTCTCCCTTTCTTCAGTGTGGCTATGCCCCAAATCTCTAGGACTGGCTCCACTGGTTGCATCAGGAGGAAGATACCTGGTTCCCTTAATTGGGATGAGGTAATGAACACACTTCATTTGCATAAGAGGACATCTTAGCAAGTTAAGAAGCTGGCTGAACATTCCCAGGCATTTTTAACACTTTGAGGAGCAACTCCGCACGGTTTGCATGTAGATAAAGGGGCATGGCCATTGAATGGCTCTGCACAGAAAGCAGCTGCTCCGTTACTGCTTCACTGAATGTCCGGCTCATTCCCTTTCCAAACCCTTTCTAGGTAAAGAAGAAAATTGCACCACTCCATTATCTCAGACCATGATGCTGTCTATCCAGCCTCCAGTGGCCCACGCTCTCTTCTCTACTACAGGAGTTAATTCGAACTACGTCCTCGTGGGAAGAGGAGTAACAGTTAATTCCAACTAAGGACTTAGTTCGAATTAACGTTTTACTGCCGCGTGTAGCCGTGCAGCAGTGGGTTCGGGCTAGTGAAATTTCGAAATGGCGACCCGACGGGAACATGCAAATAAAGCCCGGGATATTTAAATCCCAAGCTTCATTTGCAACTCCGGTCGCCTCATTTGCCTACCTAGCTCGAATTAACGAGCTAGTGTAGACGTACCCTTAGAGCCTCCAAGGCTCCGTTGACATGCTCCAGGACGAGCCTGCCAGACGGGGACTGGCTGGGCTCACACCAGCAGGCTGAGAACGGCTGTAGACGCAGCACTTCCAGGCCGGGGCTGGGCTGCAGCGCGGGCTCTGAAGCCTAGGGAGAAGGCAGCTGCAAAGCCTGTTTAGAGGCTAGCGCAAGCCCTGCCAACGCAGGACGGCTGACAGGCAGGAGCTCGCTGCCCGGGGCCACGTCACTGTCCCACAGCCGAGTGGGATTTCAGCATGTCGGGTATGAAGGGCTCTGACACCCATTGCACTCGCGTTCTCGCTAGGCAGTCATGCGGGGCGGAGGGCTGAAGCCACCCACCCCCCACCACCCACCAGAAGAGTGGTCAAGCCGTGTACTCACCGCCGTGTACAAATCCATGGAGAGTGCAGTCTGAGGGGCCCACCAGATGGATCAGGCTGGACTGGCTGTAGCCGACAGTGAATGGCTCTATGGAGAGACAAGGGAGAGCTCAGCCCCACTGGCTCAGGGTTCAGACTGTTACAACCACCCACGTCACGAGCCTGGGGCAGACGGGGCTCCGCTCACACGGGGAAAAAGCCTGAACTCTTCACCAACCGGGATGTGCGCCAGTCAGCTAGTCTGCAGGGAGGAGGGGCCATGGGACACAAAAGGGCTCCCTGTGCCCCACCCCAACCTCCTTCACTCTACGGGCACGAAAGGAGCAGGCACCTGAAAGTCAGCGCTTTGGAAGGGTCCCAGTTTCAGGTGGCATCTGCATCCTGCACTGAGCCACCGTAACCAAAGCGCCCAAAGAGTCCGTTCCTGCCTGCCGCCTCGCACCACGCGCCTGCTGTTCCACCACGCTGCTTCGGGAAAGGGTTCCAGGCGAACATGCGAAGGCCTGACACGCGGCTTCAGGAGCCAAACCCAGTGTAAAGGGTTCACTCTTTGGTGGGAGAGAGCACGAGCGTGCACGCGCGTTTTTCATGCCACAGATCAAAGATTCTAAAATCACGTGCTGGGAAAACAGTCCCATCAAGGAGCCGGGCTGCACACGTCACCCACGTGAAACGGCAGGTGCCACTGGTATCTGATCGGATCACCGGTGCATCCCAGGCCGGTGCATTTAAATCGAAGGCAAAAGATTTGGCCCAGGAATGCAGGCAGAGAGAAAACTGCTTTAAAAGCCCATGCGCAGTGAGCTGCTAGCACAAGCTTTGGCTCACACAGAGTGACTACGGCTGCCCCCCTCCCTCAATAACCCCAACCACCAGCATTTAAACATTCCCCACGCAGGCGCAGGCGGCAATCACAGGGCATGGTGTCAATTACCCGGAAAGGCCTTACCTTTAGTCTGTCTGTCTGAGAGGCAGGGAGAACAGAGAAAAAGGCGTGAGCAGCGTTCGTCAGCAAGGCAGTCTCTTAGCAAGCCGGAAACAGACATCAGATCCCCAACGGCAGGTCTGCAGCGGCCGTGCACATGCCTTGCGAAGCAGCAGGGCTGACCTCGGGGGCTCTAGCAGCAAGGGAATTCAGTGATGCCAACAGACAGACACTTTACGGGGAGCCCGAAGAAGGACGTCTACCCCCCCGAGCGGTGGCTGTGCAGCAGGCCCACGCATCTCCAAGCCGGCCCAATGGGGAGGAAGCAGAAGGCCAGTGTTGGGGACCATTTAGTTCTACTCGGGCTGCTGGGATGGGGATGGCTAGCAGAGACAGGCAGGCAAGCCACAGGTAAGGGCTTTCCAGCACTGCCAAGGGGGCCACGTTTGAAGCAGGGGCTGGCAAAGCAAAAGCAAAAGCAAAAGCAAAAGCTCCTGATTTCACTGCGACCCCCCCCGCCCTACACACCCGGCTCCTGGCGTCCACGGACAGTCTGGAACGGGCATCGAGAGCGGCGGCCGAGCGCATTTCCGCCAGAAGCCCACCGCCCACGGCTGCTGCTCGGAACAGGAGCTGCGGAGCTCGGCCGTGCCGGCTCCCGAGCATTCGGCACTCCCACGCAGCGGCCGAGGCCCACAGCCCCGCTCACTTCCTAACAAGTCACCCGTGTCTGATCTCCAGTGCGCGGGAAACGTGTCGCGGCTGTCGGAAGTGACAGGCCGTTTCATCTGCACCTCGGCACGGGCAGTAGCAAGGACGACGGGGTCTAAAACCCACCAGGCTCCGGAAGGAGACCAAAACAACGCACGTGCCCCTTGTGGCTTGTCGCTAGGCAACTACCGGTACAGGCCAAACGCCTGAAACCTCGGACTAGTCTCAAATTTTACAGGTGGTTAAAATTCACAAGCTGTAGAGAAGCTGCAAGGCCTCTTCCCTAACGCCCCCTCAGCCAGGGACTGCCGAGTTTGCTTGGTCACACGCGCTAGCAGCGCCTCACAGCATTACTGCCGAGCACACTCGCAGCCAGACACACGAGCAGCCAGAACCGGCTCTTCTCATGCCCAGATGCACACTCTTGGATTGCACATGCAAGGCCACGGGAGGGCTATAAATAGCCAAGCACAGCAGCTCAGCCACGCAGTGCTCCGAACTTCCGGCATCCAGCCTGCCTGCTCCCCGCAGACAAGCCGGGCTGATGGAGGGGTGGTCTCTGACTGTGCAAACTTGGAGCCTGAGGCTTCGGAGGGAAGCCCCTGGTTAGTCTGCTATTCCCTTTTCCACCTGGAGACTAGCTGCCAGACAGGACCTCGCTGCCCTTGCACAACGTGGGGCAGACACATGCCTGCCCCACGCCATGGAGAGATGTGGATCTCTGATTACAGAAGGCAGGAGCCCAAAGAAAGTTCTCCTGTTGGCAGTAACGGAGGCAAGGAGCCCAGGAGACGAGTAAGCTGTTCAGCTTCCGTAACGTGGGCTATCCCACCAGGGAAGCAGCACGTGGCTGGGGGGAGGAGGACAGGCAGCTCTGAGCAAGCACTCAGTAAAGACACCGCACGGGAGCACTTGGAACGACAGGAGAAGTCACCTGGGCAGCGAGAAGTCAGACACGGAGCCCAACGCCAGCTAGCCTGTCCCTAGCCAAGGAGCAGTTCTAGGCCAGTCTTGAGCAAGTCAGACCATAGGGTACTAACGTGGGGATTTTCAAGAGAGCCTATAAAGGCTAGGATCCCAAATGAATGAGATATTCAAGGTTAGTCGGGCACCGAATTCCCTCAGGCTCTTTAAAAAATCACAGTTGCACTTGTGCAAACCCATGTAAAGCTGATGCAAAACACACTGCTACGAGCTGGGGACCAACCGGCTAAGTAGGAATTCAGCAGAAATGGCCCTGGGGATTCTAGTGCATGAGAAGCTGGAGATGAGTGAAGAGGGAGCCCTTGTAGCCAAAAAGGCTAATGGCATATTCCGTTGCATTAGGAGAAGCATTCTCAACAGATCTAGAGAAGTGATTATTCCCCTTTATTCGGCTCTGGGGAGGCCACACCTGGAGTATTGTGTCCAGTTCTAGGCCCCCCACTACAAAAAGGATGTGGACGCATTAGAAAGGGTCCAGCGGAGGCCGACCAAAATGCTGAGGGGGCTGGAGCACGTGGCCTATGAGGAGAGGCTGAGGGAGTTGGGCCTATTTAGTCTGCAGAAGAGAACAGTGAGGGGGGGATCTGAGAGCAGCCTTCAACTCCCTGAAGGGAGGTTCCAGAGGCTGGAGAGAGGCTGTTCCCAGTGGTGACGGATGGCAGAATGGAGCACTGGTCTCCAGTTACAGTGGGGGAAGGTCTAGGTTAGTTTTTTCTAATATCCATTTCCCTAGGCGGGTGGGAAGCGCTGGGCTGGGTTCCCTAGGGAGGGGTGGAATCTCCATCCCTAGAGGTGATCAAGTCCTGGCTTGACCAAGCCCTGGCTGGGATGATTGAGTTGGGTTGGTCCTGCCTTGGGCAGGGGGCTGGACTCGCTGCCTCCTGAGGTCTCTGCCCGCCCTGGGGTTCCAGGGTTCTATTCCTAGGCCACAGGGGCTATAACAGGACGTGGGGCAGTGTAACAATGGTGCCCGTGGAATGCCAGAGTGCAGTTTCCCCAGGCAGGAGCCTCCTGCCACGAGCATCTGCTCTCCCAGCTACGCACCGACAGAGGATCGGCTGGACTCGATGACCTCTCGAGGTCCCTTCCAGTCCTATTATTCTATGATTCTATGATTCTATCCCTAGAGGTGTTCAAGTCCCGGCTTGACCAAGCCCTGGCTGGGATGATTGAGTTGGGTTGGTCCTGCCTTGGGCAGGGGGCTGGACTCGCTGCCTCCTGAGGTCTCTGCCCGCCCTGGGGTTCCAGGGTTCTATTCCTAGGCCACAGGGGCTATAACAGGACGTGGGGCAGTGTAACAATGGTGCCCGTGGAATGCCAGAGTGCAGTTTCCCCAGGCAGGAGCCTCCTGCCACGAGCATCTGCTCTCCCAGCTACGCACCGACAGAGGATCTCCAACACTGTTCGCAGAGTCCAGGAGCGGTCAGCAAGCAGCATAAGGGAGGCTTCGGCAGCAAGTATGCACCGAGGGAAGCCTGACTCTCCAGCAATGGAGGAGTGCGATGTGCAAACGGGGGGGCCATTCCACCATGCTAGCACAACTCAGCATGCACCCCAGATCAGCCCTGCCTGCATGTGCAGCAC